CAGTACAGCCTCATGCATTCTGGAGAGAATAATTTTTATTATAAATTTACTAATTCCGCTAGGTAACCATATGATGAACTGAACAATAACAGGATGATGGGTTTCCATGTGGCTTAATAAAACCATATGATGAACTGAACAATAACAGGATGATGGATTTCGATGTGGCTTAAGCTCTAAAAGTTGTGAAGTGGGGACGCACGCTAGCTAAATAAGCCTCGAAGGACGGGTAGACTTTCACCAGAGATCTTGGGATGGCTTGAGCTTGGGCACTTGCTTAAAGAGGAGGCCTACTTGGAACTCACTTTAGTTATTATATTGGAACAGTTAAGTCCGTCCAACAACAGAGTCTCTGCTTTTCTATGCTAAAATATCTTGCTTGAATTCTTAAGTTTCATTGCTAAGAAACAATGGAAAGGATGGTGATATTTTTTTTGCCTTTTTAAGAAATTTCTATATTATTTCTATGTCACTTCTTGCAGCACCTGATTTATCTACCTTAATTCTTTTAATCATAAATGCCCTTGTCAAGCGTTTCTTACTGTCTTAGTCTTTCATTGATTACTGGCCAACAGTTGGTCTTTCATGTTACAACTTGGAGTTTTGCTCTGTGCTCATCTCCCCTGTTCCATATGGGCATATAAAGTTTCCTTGTTTTCAGATGTCAGCATAATTCCCCGAGAGTTTCGTACTGATGCATCCTTTCCAGTATTGAATGCAGTCTTGCTTGTAAGTTTTTCTGCCTCTTGAAATGAAAATACAAATGGAGGGCACACTAAAGCTTACTTTCTGACTATTTAGCTTCTGTTCACTCACGGATTACTAATTTAAACAACTCCCTTGTTTCTACAAGTTGAATATACTTTCAGATTATAATCCTTTCTGAGTACTTATATAACCTCATGCATTCTAGAGACAATAAGTTTTATTATTCACAGAACAATATCAGGGATGATGGATTTCGATGTGGCTTAAAGCTCTTGAAATGGTGAAGTGGGAGGCATGCTAGCTAAATGAGACTTGAAGAAAAAGGACAGATTTAAGTCAGAGATGTTGCGACGGCCTGAGCTCAAGCACTTGATAAAAACGGAGGCCTGTTTGCAACTCACGCATCATATTGGAACAGTTAAGTTCATTCACCAACAGAGTCTTTGCTTTTCTATTCTCAGGTATCGTGTTTGATTTATTTATCTTCATTGTTTAAAAGGGAAGGAAAAAAAGTGATCTTTCAGATACCGTTAGGAAATACATTCTATCCAAAATGAAGATGGCATGGATTTCTGTTTATTCATTTCTGGTTTGAATGCGTTTTATGTCAATACGGTGGTGGATGTGGGTGTTACTTTCTGCATGCATTTCAGCCCATCTGTCCTTCTCAGCATGTCACATATAGACTTGCCATCATTCTAGTTGCACCATTGTTGATTGAATTTTAAATACTCACTGGCTTTTGACAATGGATGGCATCAAATATATATTCTCGTTTTGCACGCTTCAACATACACTCATAGTCCAAGCACTCACACTGCAGACTGGTGTTTCTGCATAGATCAGGATAGCAGGTTCACCCCAAAGAGTAGAAGTTATACCTTAAGGCTAGATCATAAGCAATATGCTATTCAATTGATTTTTATTTTCCTTGTTTCTTTTATTCATGAATTCCCCTATAGGATAGTCCTTCATTGATAACTGGACAGCAGGTTGCATTTCATACAAGAATTACAGATTAAAGTTTTTCTTGCTCTTCTTCTTTGTTTTATATGGACATTACAGTTTTCCTGTTTTCAGATTCATCATAATTTGCTGACTTTTGTACTGATGCATCCTTTTCCACTTAGTGGATGCAGTCTTGCTCTGTAAGTTTTTATGCCTCTTGAACACGTGAGTGGAGGAGACACTAAAGCATTTGATTCTTCCTAGATGCAATTTGGCCTCTGAAACTGCTTTTATAGTGACACACTATTCATTACAAGCTCGAGGACTTATGGACAGAAACAAATAGAACTTCATAAATGGTAAGTTGTGTGTTGGAGATATCAACTTTTGTTTGGTAAACTTGGAGAACACCTTCTATTTGGTGCTTTTGGTATTGCCTTGATGTTTTGTCGATAAAATTGACCAATAGCATGCATTTGAAACTGCAGTTGCAACTTGAAGTGTTTCCTTAAATTCTGTCTCTTGAAACCTGGGTTATATCTTCACGTTTTCTATCAAACGTTATTCCTCTTGTTAGTTTTTCCTCTCTGTTCCTTAGACGCTTGCAAGGTCTTATTTGTTGTTGATTTGGAGCATTTTCTTCAACTAAAATTTTGATGCACTCTTATGCATGCAATCTTTGCCCCTTCAGTTTTTATTATTTACAAATGCAGGGGATTATGATGCCTGGGGGAATTCCATCTGCCATTGAAGCATCATGATTCATCAACGTTCATACCTGTGTTTGAGACTCTTGGAGAAGATGAACATTTTAAACCTTAAATCTCAAGTCAATGGTAAGTCCAGTTAAGACATGAAAGCTTTTTTGAACTACTCATTCAAACAAAGTCTCCTTTTAGTGTATGTTGACTTGTGTTGCATACTCAAAAGCTTAGCAGTGATTCAAGAATTTGATATCAAATGTCAGATAGAATGATAATAACCTTTAACTTTTAATAAACTTGTTGTGAACTTTAATGCTGTCATGCTGTCTTGCCTCTGAGAGTTCTATTGGTTTAGCGAACAAGTGCTGTTGTTATGAAAAAGCAGTTTCGAATGAACTCGCATTATGAATGTCCAAATTAACTGGTAAAAAGCAAAAATCCAAATCTGAGAAAATTCAGTTGTCCAGGTCTTATGTCCTCTTGGATTTTAAGAATCTCAAATCCTAGCCAAATTGGGAATTCTGTAGAGTTGACTCAGTTCCATACTCCCTTCCAAGGCAAAGTCAGAAGTATTCTGCTTATAATAAGCTGTTCTTAAAGAAAATGTTGAAACTGGCTCAGCATAAACTAACAACCATCTCTACGGATTCTGAACTTTCATACATAGGGAACTATGCTCTGCAAATTCTGCTGATTTTATTTCTATAATATTCCTTTGAGGTTTTCTAGTATAGATATAACCTAATGATTAGATTCAATTCTCTCTGCAGTTAGGGAGGAGGACTATCAATATTGCAGCTGGAATCCAGAATTGTACAACCTTAGATATAACCTTTATACATGGAGGTATGTTGTGTTTGCTAAAGTTTTAACTTAAGCATCCTTTTTTTCTCTTTTTTCATAGAATTTTCGCACTAGCTTAATCCAGTATCTGATTTTTAGAAACTGCTGTATGTTTCATGTTTGTAGGCACTGTGTTTCAATAATTTCTAAGGAACAGAAACTTGGTCTGAACTCTCTTCCGTATGAGCATGAAGATATCATAATATGCCCATGGAGTATTCGGCTAGAACATATTTGTTAAGGAAAACGAGCATGTATGAACAATTCTTGCTGTTTTCCGTCTCAGTAAAAGTGTTGCTTCCTGTGTCAGATCATGAAAGGCTAAGAGAAGAGGCTTTATGTTGTCTAAGTCATATGCGCAAGTTGATCTGGGGAAAAACTTAGGAGAGGCAAAAAAAATTGAAGTGCGCACTGATCTAAAGCCAGTGTTGAGTGCATGATTGTGTTGCCAAAGCACTGACAAGTTATTCCACTTACAAAGCAGTTAGATGACATTCTGTGAGTTGGGGTGTACAGGGATATTAGGGCTGAGAGCTTCTCCCAAAATATGTATAATGTACTGTTTCCAACTTATAGTAAACTTCCTCCTCTCTTCGCCTGTGGATGTAGGCTTAGCCGAACCACGTAAAATCTTGTGTGTTCTTTACTTTCCGGCACTCTTACTTTTCCCACCAGATTCCTTAAAACCGGCGACTATCTTAACTAGCAAGAACTGGATATACCTAAGACTTTTCATCTTAGACTCCAATTATATGACCAAATAAGAATATCAGATCATGTTTTGTTTTTTCACTTCGATCTATTTAAGGTAGTTGATTTAAGTTTTTTCAGTATCTAATTTTCAGGAACTGGTATGTACTTTTCCTACTAGCAGGGAAATTTCCTGCACTGATACGATGGAAAAAAGAAAAAAAAAAAAAAAAAGACAAGTTTAGTACCAAAAGCCTTGTTTCAAGAGAGTTAAGGGCCAAATATAATATCTGTAGCAGAAAACAAGTTACAAATTCACTATTATTTAGGTGTTGTTTGGTAATCGGGAATAGAGTGATGGGAATAGAAATAGAAGTTTTATTTTCACATTATAGTTGTTTGGTTAAAAAGAATGAAGTGAGAATAGGAACGAAGAGTGAGAATGGGAATGAAAATTTACACACAACTTCATTCCCACATAAGATGTAGGAATAAAAAACAAGAAATGAGAATGAATTTTTTTCAAAATAATAATATATTTTATTTATTTATTATTTATTAACTACTTTTGCCGCCACCACCATTACAACAACCACAACCACCACCACCATTATCTTTATCATCACCATCATCACAACTACAACCACCACCACCATCACCATCACAACCATTACCACTATTAACATCATCACAATCTCTACCACTACTAACATCACCACAACCATCATTATCACAATCACAACCACCATCACTACCACAATCATTACCGCCACTACCACCACTAGAACCACCACAATCACTACCTTCACCTTTATTATTTTTATAACTATTATAGTTTAATAAAATTATTTTTTAATCATTATTTATATTTGTATACAAAATCGGATATTAAAAAATTTAAATTATATTTCGATTCCTTATTAGTATTCCAAACATAGTATTAGAATACAAATATCATTTCGATTCCTTAATTTTCATTCCAATTCATGTATTCTCATTCTCATCATTTTATTCTTGGTTACCAAAGAGCAGCTTATTCTCTCACGTAACATAAGCAAGCCAAAAAGGAACGTACTCATGACACATAGACAATAGCCATTGACCTAGCTAACCAGAAGATCCAAGAGTGGTTTTTCTAACAAATTGAAGCGGTCCTACAATCCCATCAAGAGGAGGCACCAAATCTTGAACTTTACTCAACTGGTTCAAAGCTGTAACCCACGAAAATATCAGTGAATTTTTTTCTGGGTCTAAAATTTTGACACCAGCGACTTCCTCTTGGGCTTTGTAGGGACTGAATGCTGCAACCACTAGAATGTCCAGGAGTCCTAAATTCTGGACTTCAGTAACTGAAACGCCATTGGGAAACAGTTTCTTCATTTCCTCATCAAATATGTTCATCTTCTCAAGAAGCTCACCCATGGCTTTCTCTTGTGTTTCTCCATCACTTGTGATGACCTGACTTACGCCCTCAAACAACTGCAGTCACAAATTTTTTAACATTACTTGAACCAAAACACAGGAAGGTAATATAAACAATCAAGAATAATATAAAATCTTTCACCTGTTGTTGGATAAAACTAGCCCAGAAACGAACTTTAGCTCTTTCATAAGTATCATCCGGCAACAGGCGAGGAGCTTGTTCCCATGTTTCGTCAATGTATTCTAAGATGATGGATGACTCTGCTATTGGCTTTCCATTGTGAACAAGTACAGGGACCTTCTTGTGAACTGGATTGTATTGCATGAGGGCTTGGCTTTTGTTGCTTGAATCTTCTTCTATATACTCATAAGGTATTCCTTTAGCTCTTAAGGCTGCTTCCACTCTCTTTAACAAAAGTGCTAGCCCACATCCCATATAGCTTCACTTTCTGTTCCTCTTCCATCTCTCTCTCTCTCACTACTCGGTTGTTGATTCTTCACGCTTGTTAAACCTTCAGATTTTTTTTTGTTTTTTTGTAAAACACGGGTTGATTCAGTTTTATTTTTCCTTGTCAAATAAGTTAAAAGCATGACTTTGACTTTGCATTACTGTTTACATTATCCAGCAATTCTTTAGCCATACTAGAGGAGCTGTGGTGCGTAAGCAGAGGACTCTAGTAGATAAGCCATTAATAACTCAATTTATGTCTTGATCAGAATATTTACCGACCATCTTACAAATGGAGTAATTTAGAAGCATTGCTCAAGGTAGCAAAGCAACTAGCAACTACAAAATTATGACTTGGTGCCCACAAAAAGTAAAAGACAGATGGTAGACAAACTTTCTTGAAAACGAGTTAGAAGGGCATGCCTAAAGGATATGCTGGGCTTAAAATGATAGTTTACATCCACTGCAAAATGATGCCATAGCTGACAGGGCCTTTTTTGGGACAAGAAATGATGCTATTTCCTTATTAAGGTCTGGAAAGCCAGAATATTAAGTGTCCATGCTCTAGCTGAGGGTCCTGGATTCCTGTTGGGAAATATCTTGATGTTGGGTCATGGAGCTCAAACTAGAAGGTCTCTAATTCGAATCCTTCTAAAGCAGCTATCTGGGCTATATTATTAAAAGCATGTTCTTCAGGGTTCAGGCCATTGGCAAGTATCATATAACGGACTGGGAGAACCAAGTTGATTCGAATGCTAAACGTGAAGAAAGTTTCCAAAAAATGGAGTTGATATTCGCCAAAAAAGTGTTTCGTGACAAAATGTTATGATTTTAACTTCACCACTGTACAGTTTGAGTTCCATTGGCTCTCAAAAAACGTAACATGATAGACACCTCAAGGCTAAAACTAAAATGTAATAAAGATGCATATTTAAGATTTATAACAGCCAAAGCATGATAAGAAAAGAAAAGGAAAAGGTCGCTCAAAGCCCAATGAGTTTTCTATTCAGATGCTCCCCTGAAGAACCTCCATGTCCTTCGTGATCATGATCATGAAACATAAGGGTCAAGATCCCAACCAAACATAGAACTGAACCAACAAGAAGTTTGTCGTATCGCTCAACCCAGTGAAACTTGAGTTGGCTGGCACCGTAGAATGATAGAGCCACAAGAGATGTCATCACAGTTATTGTGCTGCAAGATGAAAAATGACCGAGATTGAATCAATCTCGATCATGTTCAAAGAATTATAAACCGCTTCACAGCATTGACAATTGCATAACAGTACAGCCTCAACAAACAAAAGAGACTGGTTAATCCAAATACAGCTCTCTTATTGATCAAATACAAGTCTTTCTACACACAGATTAAACGAATAGAGAGTTGAGGGGAAGTAATTTTCGTATTCATTTCCAGGTTTTTTTATTTTTTTCTCAAACAGATTTATAGCAAAGATCAAAGCAATAAAGCATTAAACCACCAAAATCGAAACCCTAATAAGATTGTTTGTAGAACAGGAAATCCATCAACCCAAACACTCCAGTTTAAGTACCTGCTTCTAATGAGTGAAAGAAAAGAATTCCCAGCTCAACTAAAAACTTTAATACTCAAATCTGTTTTAGAAGAGAGATGAATCAATCTCAATAAGCCACTTGATTGTAATTTCAAATAGTCTAGGTTGATATTTGGGACTCTTCATGAAAGAAATACGAGGAGCAGTAAATATAACCAAGTGAGAACTTACTCTGAACCAGATAATTGACGATTGGACATTTATAGCAGTGAAGGTCACAAACACAAACACGAGCAACTATAGAACTGCTGCTTATTTATTTTAATTGCTCTGGACACAATTATAACATTAGAAAGCATGAAAGGGAGAGAGATTCGGAAAAAGAAAAAGGAAAAAGAGAACTGGCAACCACCATGCAAGCACACACAGTTTCATTGATCAGATTATTGTTCCTACCTACAAACCATGGGATGATACTTAACTATAAACTCCAAAACAATCAAATAAGGTAAAATAACTACCAAAATGCAAAAAGGACGAAGCATTGATACCTGAATAGCAGCACGATGATGGCAAGCACCATCATGGAGGATGAATTCCCAACAGCAAGAAAAACAGGAAGCGTGGTTGCACAAGGAGACAATGCAGGAACAAGGACGAGCCCTGCAACAGCCATTTTCTCCATAGGCTGGTTATGAGAATGGCTATGCCCACCCTTCCCAGTCAGAAACAATATAATATAACAGCCACCCAGAATTATAAGCAAAAGTGAAGCAAGTTTGTGAACTGTTTCTTCACCAGCAATAGTGTTCGCCATAGTGATTGCTGTTATACCAAGAAGTGAAGTAGATAGCACATGCAAAACTGCCCCAAATGCAGCTGCATAAAAAATAAAAAAAGGCAATGATAACTACCATAGGCATCGCAACAACAATAGTGTAAGATGATACATCATAAGCCTAAGAAGCATGAATTTTTTAGATCTCTAATACAAATCTGAGTCGCGTATAGAACCAATGAAGTTGACATATTTAAACATCAGCATGACCAACTATGGTACCAAGTTTTGAAACACCGTCGAGTAAGAGCGTGTTTGATAATGCATTTGTAAGTACATTTTCAGCCGAAAAGGCATCCATTTTCTGGGCATTTGACAATGATTTTGACACAGGGATGTGAAAACCATCGCAAAGCACCCCAAAAGGCATCAAAGCAGTACTTTTAAGCACTTCACAAAAGCTTACCAAATACACTCTTGATGGCAACCCCATCAGACGTTAAGACTCAAACTTTAAGCCATCTACCTTGAAATCACATCAGAAGATAAAATTAAAAACTAAGGAATCAAGCTAATCAACTTAGCCAATTCACATCACATTTGCATGAAAAAATTTCATTTCAAGCACTAAACATCCAATACTACAACAAATTGCTAACGTCCCAATCTTTTTCTTGATATGTTCTTAAAAATCAAAACCTACCAACAATTTCCATTTTCCTGCAAGTATATAGGGAAAAAGAGCCGGATCTGAACGGAAACGTGAAGATAGAGAGAGGGAGAGAGGACATACTGACGAGGAGAGTTCTAGAGAGAGTCCATTTCTGGGCACGCCCAACAATGGAGAAAGGAAGCCAATGTGTTGGAATGAAAGAATGGAGAAGAGAAACAGTGGCGATTCCTCCAATTGTTGATAGATCTTCGGCGGTGAAACTCTCCATGGGTTTACTAGTTTAGTATAATGGGGCAAATGCGTTCTTTTTCTAAAAACAAAGCGGTGATCTTACATTTACTTACGGGTAAGTTTTGATCTGCGGTGGTGGTGGTGCCGGCAGAGGCGGCGGTGACGGTCGTGGTGGAGAGCGATGGAAATGGAATTTGTGCTACCAGAAGATATGGGAAGCGTAAGATCCAAAAGGAAGGAAAATAAAATAGACAACTGTTTCTGATGTTTGCTTTTTACCGATATCAAATATATTTATACAGATTAAGAGATTTTTGTTTTCTTCTAAAAATTTGATGATCAACCTCAAGATTTGATAAGTAAATAATAGATTACATTTCCTAATTTTGCAAAATGTGTTAAATAATTTTTTTAATTATTTTTTAAAGATCATAATTAGTTTAGTATTATTTCTTAAAAAAATATTATTCTTTTCTCTTCTATTTTTCCATACTTTTTATTTATTTTTTCCTGTTTTATTTTTTATAATAAAAAATAAATTAAAAATAATTAAAAAAGTAAGTTATAGATAGATTTAAAAACAAATAAATTACTTAATTAATTTTTAAAATTATAAAGACTGTTTAATTTGTTTTGAAAAACTAGAGGAACTAATTTATTATTTACTAAAAATTTAGTTCATGGTCCAAAAAAAAAAAAAAAGTTTCTGAAAGAAAAAAAAATAATAATTAACGTGTCCTCAAATATTTGATGTCCTATAAAAAGCTGCACTGTATCGTAACATCGCCGACAGTTTCTTTTTTTCCATTTTTGGAGGCTCTACAGGAGCACGAGGTCAAAGGCCAGGACAAAAAAGTCAAAAAAATTAGCACCTTTGTGCAGACTTTTGGGAGGGCAACTCCATTGAAGTCAGCCTACAACCGAGTCCATAACAAACGTTGAAGGATGATGCTAAACCGTAACCCATTAGACATGTCCAAATTAGCCAGGAGATCAGCACAGGAATCCCCTTCTCTTGACACAAACTGGAGATGGGCACTTCCGATGGGCAATTCAACCTTTTGATTTGTAGTAGTTTAGTACCATCTACATATGGGACGCACGAGGATTGAAAGCTTTCGATTTCACTCCCGTTTGCCCCTTTTTTTTTTTTTTTTTTTTTGTGAATTACCATAACAAACTTGCCTTCTTGTTAGGGATAACAATTTAACTCCACGCCGCCCCGATCAACGCAAGTATTTCTCAAATTGTTAGGGATAGCAATTTAACTCACCCTGACGAAACCCCACGCCGCTTCGATCAACGCAAGTATTTCTCAAATTGACTGAAAAACGAGACAACACATTCCATTCCATATTAATTTTAAACAAGGATGAAGCAAGAATGATATTAGCCCTTCACACCCCATTTGCCACTCTTCATCCTTAAAATTACAATTACACTTTATATAAAATTTGTAACTACTATCTCTTAATTTATTTTATATATGAATTATCATTTTACTGTTATAATTTAAAATTTAATAATATAATAAAACAGATAAGACAAATAAAAAATTAAACGATACACCAATGCCTCATAAAGGTCCTGATCCCTGTTTGGAGTAGGAAAGGTATGAAAAATATTACCCCAAGCAAGTCCCCACCCCCACCCTGCCTCATCGCCTTCCCACTTGTCGTTCCTCTAGTGCCAGAGAAAGGTCAGACCTTGCAACCAGACTCTCACACAAGGATCACTGACAAATCTTTAATGGGATTCGTTTGCCCTACAGCGTGGATGGCACCAAGTTAAACTACGTGATGACCACAAAGCACCAATAGGTTAATAATAACCTTGGAGGTGGGTTCAGTTTGAATTTGATGCAAGCTATAGATGGCATTGAGCACCACAGCAAATGAAAGTTCAATCATGAAGAAACAACGAATGTACTTCCGGAAGACGATAGGCAGAGAGAAATTAACACAGAACAAAAATTAAGTACTCAATGGAATTCACTACATAGAAAATGGCTATCAAAGAAGCATACAAGTCCCAGATAAACAGTTCTTGTTAACAATATCACAGTGCTCTCAATTGAAACCTACATTCCAAAGAGAAGAAAGAACCAAAACTAGAAGACATGCTCTTGCTTGGAAACTGAATCAGTGATCACCAGGTACGGTCTTAATGATATCGGAATCACCTGGAAAAAAAAAAAAACAAGATGGAGCCACGATCAGAGGAAATAACAACAGCCATGCTTATAAAGATCAAAACAAAGCCCATTCTATTTACCTGCATCGATAATGCTGAGGCAGCATACTCTGAAATATTTTCCACAAGCAGTGCCCAAATCGACGTTGTCTGACATATGACATATTAACACACCGACATAATGAGAAAAAAGATCCACAGAGGAGCGCAAATTTTAAAGAAGAATAACACAACTTGAAGAAACATGATAACACAATAACTGTTTTGAATTCACGAGACCATTTGCCATTTGGAAAAAGTGCAACAGACGTGTTATGAATGAGCAACTATTTTTTCATGAGAAGGATCAGAGGAACAACTGATGTTACAACACTACTTGGGAAACAACCAGCAAAACCTATTCTACTCTACATGGCATTATTCAACAGGCTAATGATTAATCCACATATTTCAAATAAATATTGCATATTGCATATTCTGATGAGCTATGAGCTTAAAATAAGTACCATCATCATGTATCAATTAGAGTGCTGCACTGCAATTTAGTATCATTTATTATCATTAACTTAACCACAAATTCTAAGATCTAAAATTAAACAAAGAATTGAGTCATGTCCAAATATTCAGAGATACAACAAAAAGAAGAAATGTAGTTCCAAATTTCCAGACACAAGTTGACGACAGATAAAAAAGGCAAGCTTCTAAAGCTAAAGCTAAGTCCACAACTTCAAATGAAATCCATGAAAATACAAGGAATGACAATCGAAAGATGTTAGAGCGTTAAGTCTAAGAAACTCACTTCCGTTGTAGTGGTGAACTCCAACCTTCGCCAACATAGCATAATATTCAATCTCAGACTTTCTCAGAGGAGGACAATTGTTGGAGATGATGATAAGCTTCCCTGCAAACACAAACACAGACCTCTATTTAAGAAATCTCCAACACACTAAAGCAAACAGAACCCAAAAAAATCAATCCACTCCCAAATCAACCCCAGCACTACACCACATTGACAATGGGAAAACAACAGCTCATAACTTTCTACACTGAAGAACCTTCACCATCTCACAGATCAAGGTAAAGTAAATCATCAATCAAAACCCATTCTAGAAAACCAAGTAAAACGCAAACCCCATTAATCAGATCAGAAAAGAAAAACTCAAATCAAAAAATAGATGCTTACCCTTTGAGTTTCTGAGAGACTTAAGTACAGTCTTGTACCCTAAAGTGTATTTTCCACTCTTCATCACTAGAGCCAGTCTGTTGTTAATAGACTCATGAGTCTTTTTCTGCAATTATCAAAGAACATAAAAACCGATCAAAAATACAAAAACCAAAAGATTAAATTCTTTTCAAACAAAGAAAATGGGAAAAGGAGGCATTTACAGTTTTCTTGGCCGCCACCATGTTTCTTTGTTAGATAGTCTACGGCAAACTAAATTGGTGCTCAACACAGCAACAAGCCCTAGAAATATATGTATTTATATAACGAGGAGGCTAGGGTTTTCTAGAGTGGATCTGTTTGGGTGTACGGTATTTTACATACAGGTTTGGGATATTGGGATATTCTTTATCCCGGTTTTGCGATACTATAATTAAGAGTTTCGTAAATATATGCTTTGTAGTTTAATATTTAACTCACCTAAAGCCTTGTAGTTCAAATATAAGTAATTGAATCCTTGATATTTGATTTTTGTATCCCATAAAATGCTTGTTCGCAATTATTGTGCTTTTGAACGGACCAAAACCAGAGTGTGGTTGAGTAAATTATAAATTAATCCCTCTAGTTTTAAAAAACTAATTAATTATTTTATAAAAAAATAATTATTTAATTCTATGATTAATGTCTATCATATTTAATTTAATATTATTTTATTTCAAAAAAATTCTCATCAATATTTTCATAGTATCTATTTATTTTTTTATTTTTCAAACAAAAAATAAATTAAATTAAAAATAACTGAATAATTATTTTTTGAAATAAAAAAATTAATTTCATTTTATTTTATTAAAAAATACTAATTTATAGTTTACTCGTGTTTGGCCGAAAGCATAGAAAAAAAAAGTGAAGGCGAAAAAAGAAGAAGAAAAATCATCTATATAACCTTGTATGTGTCAAAATTTATCAACCAGGTCCCTCTGAAAAAATCAAACTATTTATACAATTATCAACATATCCTTCATCAATAGAATTTGTTAAATCAACAGAATGTTATTTTTAGGTGATTTTTGAATTTTTTTAGTAAAATACCAACCAAGCTTCCTATTCTGTTTTCCTAAATCATCTATATTATATTTATACTTTAAAACGAATCATTAATATGTGATAGTAACAAAATAAATGAAACAAATTGTTGATGACAGTAAAACAATAACTAAGAAATAAAATAACATATACGAGTTATTTATAAGAGCTTCCATGTCTTGACAAAATCATTATGGTTTGTGAATAAAACTATTTTAAGTGTCTAAATTTATTTGATATACACAATTAAGAGCCTAATCTTTAATTTTGTTAAATAGATATCTAGTCTTTTTATTTTGAATAGAAAGCCTCTAAGTGGATACATGTTAGTCCAATGTTAATGTGTCCATCAAACGATGACATGGGTCCTGGTACCTAAAATAACATTTGAGGCTGAAGTTATTAATGATATTAAAAAAAAAAAAAAAAAAAACCTCTTTGCTTAAATAATAATAATAATTATTAGCTAATTTATTTCGATCACTTGCTAACACGACATCTCATTGACGAAATAAATCTCAAATATTATCTTAAACTGCTACTTGATAATAAAAAATGAAATGGTAGGGATGAGAATGAAAGTTTTATTTTCATCTTGTTGTTGTTTTGATAAAAGCAATGGAATATGAATGGGAATAAAGAGTGAGAATGGGAATGATACACATAACTTCATTGCCATTTAAAACGTAGGAATAAAAATAAGGAACGAAAATAAAATAATTAGCTTAACACGATAATTAGCTTCCAATAAGCTTAAATTGAGGTTTTACTCAAGGTAGTCAAATGAATTTTAAGCCTACATAATTCTATTAAATCGAAAGTTTATAAAATAATTTTAGTATTTTGAGGAATTTATAACTTAATAACAATGTTAATTATTTAATGGTGTTTTTGTTTAAATTTGTTTAATTATTTAATAAAGAATAAATAATAATTATATTAAAAGGATTTGGTTTATTAGTGTAAATATCCAAATTTTTATAAGTGTGTTTGCTTGAAAAGTGATTCGAGTCATTTTATATGTTTTAACCAAAATTACTTAAAGATATTTAAACATGTTTAACCAAAACATATTTTAGATTATTTGAGTATGTTTTGATTTAATTGATGAATATTTTATAAAGATATTTAGATGTTTTACATGAAAGAATTTCTATTATATGAATTGATTTTAGAACATGAAATGATTTTTTAGTTCTAATTGCTATTTCTATTAAATAAGCTATTTTTTAAAGTATGATGTCTATTTTTATGTTAATGACGAACCTAAATTTTAATTTAAATGAATTTTCCATTGCATATGTTATTGTATATTAGAAGTAGAGGACACGAAGCTTAGTGTCTTGCATTTATTACATTTCGAACGTGGGGCATTATCGGTAGCAATCTCAACCTACTTTAAGTCTTAAGTTGAAGGTGTTACATCAAACCTCTATTGAAAAAAACTGATGTGTGTTGTTTATAAGATTTGATATTGTTGTACAGAGTCATCATGATTTTGTTTAAAAACTTGTCTTATTTTATATCGAAAAAATAAAAAATAAAATCATTAAAAGCGATTGTTATTCTCACTCCTTATCTCTCATCTATTTCATTGTGATGTTTTTAATGACAATCTATCAAATCATTATTGATATTTGCTACAAATCAAACCCATGAGTGATCTTGACATAATTTATGAAATAAACAATTTTTTTAAAAAAAAGTATTAAATAGAAAAAGTACTCGTAATTGTAAATGAAATAAAAAGAAAATAACAAAGCGTGTGTTTGTTCATATGTCACATGAAAAAAAAGGAAAAATTATATTTTTCTCTATTGTTGGCTTTTTTCAACACGCATATACACAAGGAAGCTTGGTCTTTAATTGGTATGCGGTTGCCAAAAGAGAGCAATTGGAGATAAACTTAAGAAGTAAAAGTTTTTTTTTCTTATTACTTTGACGAATTCTATAAGAAAAAACAAAGAAAGTACAAATTTTAAAATTTCATATGAGACAAATTAACTAAAGAATTAACTTGTATTATCGCTAATATTTTCGTTTCTCAAGTTTATAGAGAAACCCGGGTGATTGCATTACTTTCTTAATCACGGTGAATTATTTTAAAGATAAACCCGAGTGATTGCATTACTTTTTCAATCATAGTGGATTATTTTAAAGTCTGGTTCGTAGTTTTTGGTCGGCGATAAAGAAGACTTTCATGTAATTTTAGTATTTTATAGTTGTGTTATCGTGATTTATTTATTTTATACTCTTAATTTTTATGTGTGTTTGGTTTTAATTATATATTCTTTTTTTACAAATTTTAATTTATACGGAATGAGATTAAATTCAATATCTATAGACGACAAGTATTTTTTTTAACTTGGGATTTTGTGTTTTTAAATTTTAATTTTTGATGCAAAACCAAATCTTGACACTCGAGTGGATTTCGAGTTCTATGAATGGTTATGTTGTGATTTTTTAGGTATTTTTAAATTTTAAAGTGTTGCTAACGGTGTTGGCTGAAAATTATGGGAAAGCAATAGGAATTCTTTTTCTATTTATTTATATTAGGAATTTGGTGTCGTGATGAACATCGTTTTGTAGGATTGTTAAACATGATTGAGAAAATGTGGAATATATAAGTTGGGTGTTTCCAAGCAAATAAAAAATTAAAAGAAAGTTGAAATGGTCAAACCTTCTATGAATTTTAGTTCATTTAAAAATCAGTTTCTAAACTTTTAGTTTGTTTTTTGACCTCTTAAATTATTTATTTAAGTTTTAATATTTAATCAATCCTGTGTTTTTTTAACTATCATCCTTCTCCTTTAAAAAAAAATCATTTTTTGGTATTTTGATCCAAACTTTTGTATACATGTTGAGAAAAATCCAACCATTTTTTAGGAAAAAATCTAGATTTTTTCAAGGTTTGAACATTAAAAGAAAATGGAAAGAATAAAAAATAACCCAAAATGATCTCAATTTTTTTGAGAAGCTCCAGATAAATTTTACTAGATGATTTATACTAGAGTACTAGTTATGTAATTGTTATTTTTTTGGAACAAAAAAATAAAAGATAGAATAAATCTATAAAAAAAGTTCATAGAAGCGAGTCAAAACACGTATAAATAAAAAGTTCAAGAGTGATGTTTAAATAGAATAAAGTTCGGGAAATGTTTGGCCTTTTTAGCTTCGAAAAAAATCGATTAATTTTTTTTTGTTGACTTCTCGAAATAAAATAAAAGAATTTTCTAGTTTGAATAAAAACTAAAAAAATTGCCGGAAATAAATAAACAAACAAAAACTATCAAGAGAATTTTGATTGTTTTTGCTTTATTATTTTTTTTCAAAATTTTAATCTATATATATATATTGGAATTGATATAAATCGACACCCGCCCTTCCTCCATTTAAAAGTCAAAATTAGTTATCCGTATGATTTTGATCATAGTATCATTCTCGTCGCTTTAATCTAAGTATGGGCGGGAAAGTTATGCTACTTGTATGTTTAATTTACAATCAAACATGCAATCATTAACTATTAAAATTTAAATTCGTTCGATGTAAGAACATAAAAAGAAAACAATTTTTTAAAAAATAATGTAAGAACATAAAAAGAAAATAATTTTTTTTTCAAGAACAATAGAAATACAAAAATAAAATAAAATTAAGTGTACATGTTTTTTTTTTTTTTTGAGTTTCGCATAATCGAGTTGGTCTGCTATCGATTTATGCAATTATCAAAAAATATAAAAACTGATCAAAAAACATAAAAACCAAAAGATTTAATTATTTAAAAGAAATAAAATGGGAAAAGAGATTTATCGTTTTCTTAGCGACCACCATGGCTATGATCTTAGATAGTTTATAATATAAAATACGAGGGCTCATCGAAAACCTAGATAGGATAACATATGTATTTATATAAAGAGGAGACTAGGATTTTTGTGGATTGGTTCCATCGGTCCTTGAGATTTTATTTTTTTCTACGAGAGAAAATGCCTATCGGCAATTTTTCGTATCATACAAAGTGTTTATTCGTAATTGTTGTGATAGCCAAAAATAAAAAAATAAAAAATCATAAATATACCTTTGTATGTTTAACAAATTTTCAACCGTGCCCTTCTTAAAAAAATCAAACCTCTAGTGTCATCAAATCTATTTACGAAAATTACATTCA